CGCAGTGCAGCCATGGGTGGCAATGGGGTGGCACATGGAACACCTGTGCCAGGGCCTCCTACGGTGGCCGCCTGGCTTGCTGTGCTCCCCCTGAGCCTGAGGGGCCTCGACTTCCCATTGACCATAACACTCCTGAAAGAGGAAGCAAGACAAAGCCAGAACACTGGCCTGGATGTCATTCGGAGAATTCGAAAAACAAAAGTGGAGGGTCTGGGTGAACAGAGGCATAACTCCCCCCCCACCGTCCACGTGCACTGGCTGGATTGTCGCCCAGAGTCACAGCTGCAACTGCTCTCCAGAGGCCATTGGTGAACTCTGGGAAGGGACAAGATACATCCTGGGGCTGTGGGTCCTCATGGTGACAATACCATTGCAGCTTCGAGTCACTCTCCTCAGCCCTCACCTTCCAAAATGGGAAGCCAATAAATAATTAATTAATTAATTTCAGACATAGATCAGGTCAACAAAGGAAAGTGTAAGATTATTACTTTATAACATGAGAGTGAATGCTAAAAAAAAAAAAAACGGTCAGAATAACTGCAAATGCTGCCTCTAAGAACCAGGATTTTAAGCTGCAGATGGCAGGGCAGGAAATTATACATTGTACTAAGCATTTTAGAACTACTTATCCATTTTAACATTTTTCTAAATGTATATGTTACTTAGAAAAATAAATATTTGTATACGTGTAATTTCTTATGTATGCATATAAAGAGTTTTCTAAACACTGCGGTAGTTGCTGTGTCTTCCTCTTTTTCTTCTTCCTTTTCCTTTCTTCCTTTCTCGCCTTCCTTTTCCTCCTTTATTTTCTTCCTTTCCTCCCTCCCTTCCTTCCTTCATTCCTTCCCTCTTTCTTCCTTCAATTTTTCTCTTTTTTATTCCTTCCTTCTTCCTTCTTCCTCTTTTTTTATCTCTCCTCCCTTCCTCCTTCCCTCCCTTTCTTCTTTCCAGCTTAGAGCTGGGAGGAGGGGCCCAGCCTCCTGCTCCCTCCCCTTCCTCTGCCTATAACAGGGTCTAGTCTCCTTCTAAACATGACAAAGCCCTCCCCGGTGGTTGCCCAGTGCTGTTCCCCTGTGCGGATAAACCACACTGTGCTCAGTCATCCTTCCGCAGACAGACACTCTTCACTCTCCAGCTATTCGGCCGGGCGCGGTGGCTCAAGCCTGTAATCCCAGCACTTTGGGAGGCCGAGACGGGCGGATCACGAGGTCAGAAGATCGAGACCATCCTGGCTAACACGGTGAAACCCCGTCTCTACTAAAACTACAAAAAAACTAGCCGGGCGAGGTGGCGGGCGCCTGTAGTCCCAGCTACTCGGGAGGCTGAGGCAGGAGAATGGCGTGAACCCGGGAGGCGGAGCTTGCAGTGAGCTGAGATCCGGCCACTGCACTCCAGCCTGGGCGACAGAGCAAGACTCCGTCTCAAAAAAAAAAAAAAAAAGAAAAAAAAAAAAGAAAGCCACTAGCAGCGAAACTCAGAAACAGTATCTTCAGCAGAGGAGGCCAGACACAAGACTTCCAAAGTATACAGGGTTTCATTCTGGGAAGACAGAAATTTCTAAAATTAGATTGCTGTGAAGGTTGTGCTACTCTTTAAATACACCAAACATCACTGAACTGTACACTTAAAATAGGTAAGTTTTCTGGTATGTTAATTATATCTGAACGACTCTTCTTTTAAAACGTAAATGAAACTATTTTACCTCCTGCCTAAAGCCTGCCCAGGACATCTGGGCTGATTCTGGATTTTGTCTGTTACAAATAAAGCTGCTGTGGCTGTTGGTATACAGGCTTCTGTGTGAAACATAAGAGTCTCTGGGACCAACAGCCGTGAAGGCAATTGCTGGATTGTATGGTAGTTGCATCTCCAGTTTTACAAGAAACTTCCAGACTGTTTTCCAGAATGGATATAAGATTTTATATTCCCACCAACAATGTATGAGCGACCTGTTTCTCCGCATTTTTGCAGTATTTGGTATTGCCACTATTTTTAGATTTTTGCCACTCTGATAGATATATAGATCTCACTGTGGTTTTAATTTGTATTTCCTTGATGATTAAAGAAGTTGAAATCATTGTATGTGCTTTTTATTTTTTATTTTTGGCATCTATATTTTTTCTTTGAAAAACAGAAAATGCATTTGTGTTTCCCCCCTAAAGTCTAATTGGTTTGTGGTTCTGTTTTTTTGTTTGGTTGGTTTTTGGTTTTTTTTTTTTTTGTCTCTGTTTTACTATTGTGTTTCTTTATATATTGTAAATATGAGTCCTTAATCAGATAAGAGGTTTGCAAATATTTTCTCTCCATCTCTAATACATCTTTTCATTATCTTAAGAGTCTTTCACACAAGCAAAAGTTTTACATTTTGATGAAGTTCAGTTAATCAAAATTTCGCTTTTATGTATTGTGCTTTTGATATCCGATTTGAAAATTCTGCGGAGCCCTAGGTCCTGAAGACTTTACCCTATTTTTCTCAAGTTTTATAATTTTCCATTTAAGCCTGTGATTCAATTTTGGTTAATTTTTACATAAAGTGAACTTTTTTTTTTTTTCTTAATGGGTGTCTAATTGCTCCAGCTCCATTTGTTGAAAAGGCCAACTTTTCAACAAAGTTGAAACATTGAATTGTTTTTCTGCCTTTGTCAAAAATAAATGGAGCGTATTTGTGTGGGTCTATTTCTGGGTTTTCTGTTCTGTTCCATTGATCAGGGCCTGTCCGTCCACCAACACCACCGTGTGTTGATTACTATAGCCATATAAACATCTTGAAATTGGGTGTGTTGATTTATCCCACTGGATTCTTCTGTTTCAAATTGTTTTAGCTATTCTAAGGCCCATGCCTTTCCATATATATTTTAGAATAAACTTGTCTATGTCTACAAAACCTTGCTGGGATCTAATTTGCTTTTGAAATAAGATATCTATAACTGTTTTCCACTGTTGTTGTTGTTGTTGTTTTTTACTGAAAATATTATTAAAATTTAGTTTGCTTTTATTAAACTTTCTTTTTCCCCAAATTTCAACATGCATTCATTCATTCCCTCAACTATCTGTACTGAGCACCCACTATGCGCCGGGAGCTGTGGAGATTCTTTGGGATAGAACAATAAAAACACATGTCTGCTTTTCTCAAGGAACACATGGTTTTGGATTGTTAATGAAAAAATTTATTTTACTAACTAAATATTATTTTGAAGGTACGTATCTATTTACTGTACCCTAAAATTTAACCTACACAACTGTTCTTGCTTTGTCCTTGGGAGCCTGTGCTGCTGAAGAGTGCCATCAAATGATTTGGGTGGAGCCTGGGTGGTTCACCCTGGTTGTGTCTAGTGACAGCTCTTGATGGGGCAGGGGGCCCGTGGGCAAGTGTTCCTGTCATTCTTGTTTACCTCCTTCATCACCCTGCCATGCCTTTTAGAAATAAACAAGAACAACCGAGAGTGAGTCATTCATTCTTTCTCATATACGTTCATTTAATCAATGTTTGTCGAGTGCCCCCAACATGCCAGGCGTGGAGTCAGGGGTTGGGCTGAGGCCAGAGAGCCATCCCAACAGGAACCTACAGCTCTGGCAGCGGCTGCTGCAGAGCTTTGGGAGCCTCCTGGGCCTCTGCTGACCTCCAAGGGAGAAATAAATGCAAAACCTACAGGAGGAAGCCACCTGGAGAGCCCCAGCCTGGCGGGGAGCTTGGGTGCAGGCAGAAAGGCAAGGGGTGCAAACACATCACCTTCTAACTACTGATCAGGCCTGGAGTCCACAGGCTGAAGCAGCCTGTGGTCGGCACGTCAGTAGAGGGAGGGCTGGACTTGTGTCGCTTCCCAGGAAACAACAGTCTCCTCCCTGACCAGATCTGAACACAGCGAGAAACAGAATCAAATACGCAGAGCTCGTGTCCCAGATTGTTTGCACTGCTATAAAGGAATACCTGAGAACTGGTAGTTTATAAAGAAAAAAATGTTTATTTCGGTTGACGGTTTTCAGGCTGTACAGGAAGTGTGGTGCCTGCATCTGCTTCTGGTGAGGCCTCCAGAAGTTTCCAATCACAGCAGAAGGCAATGGGGGATCAGGCATGTCACAGGGTGAGAGTGGGAACAAGAGAGAGAAGCAGGAGTCCCAGCTCTCCCATGAATTCATGACCCCTCATTACTGTGCCAAGCAGTTCATGAGGACTTTGCATCCATGACCTCAATACCTCCCACGAGGCCCACCTCTAATACTGGAGGCTACTCTGCATCCATGACCTCGACACCTCCCATGAGGCCCGCCTCTAATCCTGGAGGCCACATTTCAGCATGAGATTTGGAGGGAACACACATCCAAACACATCACCTTCTAACTACTGACCAAGGCCAGCCCCGAAGGCCTCCCACTGTGCTGGGGCTCTCAGCGGATTTGTATTTGCAAAGATCCAGCTTCTTCTGGCCACAGTGAAGAGAACTAGGCAGAACTGGTTGTTTCTGGAAGGAGCATAAGGGCCAGAAAGGTCCTGTGTTCTATGCAGAGAGTGAGAGGAGATGTGGAAAGGGAAAGGGCCTGCCAGGAACCTGGAGTCCAGCTGAGCACCGAAGACCAGCCTTCCCCTCTGCCTCCGACTGCCCTTTTCCTTTCCAGGCTAAATTCTTTATACCACAAAGACTCTGGAATGAGAGAAAATGTCAAATAGCCCATAGAAGCACGTCTTTTTCTGTAGACGCATGCGGGTGATGGCCTGCAGCCACACTGTGCCCAGCACACCCAGGCTTGTCCTTTGCCTCAAGAGAGTACCCCTTCCCCTTGTGCACCACCATGAGCAAAGTGGGAACCAGGCCCTGGGCTTAGAGAGGAAGCGGAGGGAGGGCCAGGGCTGGGACAGCCTCTGCAGGATGCCCAGGACAGGGACACAAAGACATGTGTGCAAGCGGAATTCACTTTAAGACTAAACGGCAATTCCAAGATATGTTTGGGTTTTTTAAAGGTGAGGGAATTGAGATGAGAAAAGGAACATTAAAAATAAAATATTTTAAGAAAGCTGTTTTATTTAAATGAATTAATCCCAAATTATCACATTATACTTCAATGCATATGACATTTTAATAAAAAGCTACTATTTAGTTTTGTCAGAATATATTTCATCCGATGAAAAAAGAGTAATATAAACCCATGGAACCAGTATTCCAAGGTAAGAATTGTTAAGATGTTACTACAGTTACTTCAGATCTATTTTTCAGAAATAAAACATGACTAACAGAGTTTAAGTCCTCCTCCCATGCCCACTCTCCCTCTTTAAAGATTCCGCAGGCCTGACATGTGTGGGAGACTTTTGTTCCCATGGTAATGCTGCTGCACCCCCACCCCCATGCCTGTAGACACCACAAAATATTGCTGTTTGTTTTTAAATTCCATTGTCAGCATCACCCTTCTGTATCCCCGCCCCCAAGGTTACACTTTTAGGAGGCACTCAAGTTGGTACAAGTAGAATGACTTCATCCCCTTTCGCCCCAGGGGACATTCTGTTCGGTGAAATATGCCACGAATTCTTTATCCAGGCCTGGAGTGGAGGCCTTGGAGGGGGCTTCTAGTCCTGCACTCCTGCAAACCATGCTCCAGGGATGCCTCGTCCGTCCCCGCTTCCGCAGCACCTGTGTGCTGGGTGCCAGGGAGCACGCACCTTCTGTTCTCTCAGATGCAGCCAAATGTCTCCCGAATTTCTCTATAGAAATTTAAGTTGCACCGCAGGAAGAGTTTCAATAGTGCACACTCTAGGCCTTGCTGGGTGTCATCAATGAGTGTGAAGTGGCATCTCCTGTTGCCTAGAGATAGACAACCAGTGAATTTGCGCATTCTCAGGCGTCTCCTCTGCGTGAAGGGCTGCCCCTATCCCTGCCCCTTTATTTCCCTGGATGCCTCGTCTTCGCCCATTGGCAGTCAGAATTCCTCCTGGTGCTGTAGAGGAGTCTTTGTTATTTACAGGTAGGGCAAATATCTTCTCCCCCGTGGGGGTTAGCAGTTTATGTTTTGCTCAAGGACGTGTTTACTTTTAACACACTCGAATGTATCCATTTTTAAAATTTCTGCATTCCCAGTCATATAGATATTTAAAAAAAAAAAGCAAAGAAAGCAAAACCCAACCCTCCCCTCCGCCTGCCTATATACTCCAGGGGTGTAGGATCTTGCAGAGGGGTTTGGGAAGGAGGAGTTCGGTGTGTGTCTGGCTATGTGCTGCCGAACCCCTGGTCAGAGCTGGCTGTTTCGGGCACACAACGCCGAATTTACAGTTGGCAAAGGGTATTCAACACGGCCTCAAGATAAACGCTCTTCAGAGCCTCGCTGGTTGGATTAAAATAATTGTAAAAACACTCGAGAAAGTATTTCCTTTTCTCCAATGTTTCTTGCGAGCCTGGAGTCCTATCTGCTCTCGTTGGGACGGAGCTGACCCCTGAACTCTCCGCAGCCTCCTGGGTGACCGCGCACCCCGCGCCCCCCACCCCCACCGAGGCCAGCACCGAGGTGCGCTCTGGTGTTTAAAAAGAAGATTGCAAAGCCACGGAGGAGCTGCTGGAGGGACGGAGGATTGAGGGAGCTAAGTTCTGCCGAAGACTGTCTCCCGCACATTTAAAAGACAAAACAAAAACAAAGCAAAGCCCTGACAACTCCACTTGACCAGAGCAGCTTCAGCAAGACACGCCGACCTCCCCGGGCAGCGCGAGTGCGCGCGTGTCTGCGTCTCTGTGCGGATCTGGGCCTGCCGTGCGCGTGTGTGCCAAGGTGAAACGGCGGCGGAGTTTCAAACATTTCATCTTCAAACCATCTCCTGTGGAGGAACGAGGGCGGTCAGGTGGTTGCTGATTCTGAAGAGGGTCTCTTTCAACTGCGATCCCTTCAAGGAACTCGGGTCTGTCCATTTCCACGGAAATGTCCCTTTTCTCCCTCTCCAGGCGCTGCAGGCTCCCCGCGCCGCACTCCCTCCCGGGCTGAAGCCGCAGCTGGCTGGACGCGCCGTTTCCAGGGTGCGCCGGGTGAGAGCCGCTCACGAGCGGCCCAGCGTGGCGGGACCTCGAACTGGAGCCGCGCGGACGCCTGACCACCAGGCGCTCCCGACCCGGACCGGGAGAACGGCGACCTGGGGGGAGGGGGCGGGGCGCGTAGGAAGGAGGAGGAGAGAGAAAGAGGGCGAAGCCAGCGCGAGATTAGGGAGGAGAGGAGGATAGAGACGGAGTTGGCGAGATGTTGGAGAATTCACGATTGTGGGGACCTTGCGCGGGAGAGAAACTTCAGGAAGCACGTCGGAGGCGGAGCATCTGTGGAAGGAAGGCAAATTTTGCAGAGCAGTAAAGGAAGCCGGGAAGGGCAAGTTAGCCATGGGGAGACGCCGCAGAAATCCGGAGCTAAAAACAGGGCGGTTAAGTAAGCAAGAGCTGGTTAGCTGAATACGAGGTCCCTGGAATGTAAATTATAAATAAATACATAAAAAGGAAAGAAATGAAAGAAAAAGAAAAGAGCGCGCTGTAGGGTCCCAGGTCCAGGCGCTGGGAGCAGCCCAGGCGGGGACCCTCCCAGCCCATAGTAGCCACCGCCCGGAGTCCCTAAAGTGGCTCCCACGTGGCTACTCGGGGATCTCCCAGGCCTCGGGGGTCCATTTGAAAATCTCGAGAGGCCTCGCACATCCTGCCAGGACTGGAGCTGCGGGGGCCCCTCAGTCTCCCACGGATGCTCCTCTGCACGTGTTTTCCAGAAAAACATTTAGGCCTCAGAAGCGTCTTTGAGAACCTAGAAATGCCAGTTGCGCGTGAAATCCAATCCAACCTACTCACAGAGTACTAGACCTGGAAACGACGTTTGAAAGAGATGTGCGTTCCATGCTGACTTAAATTTTGTTCCATTTATGACGACGTATTTGTTTTCAAAGAAAAGAAAAATTGCTTAGCCAAGCTTCTCACGTCCCCATCCCCCTGTTTCTGCCTCGCTCTTTCCCTCGACAAACGCGGGGAGCCCTGGAACGGGAGAGCCAGTGACCGGTGACCGTGAATACGGTAGCGATGTGATTTGATGCACTGAAACTACTTATATTTCCAATGTTACTTCATTAAAGGAAACCCACATAAAACGTGTCTGTTTCATCTTAATTGCCAAAAAAGTTTGCCACACCCCCGAACGGTAACTGTTTCCCCCCTAGACACCGAAAGCTCATAAGGAACCACAATGAGAAAGGATCAGGAACCGCTTAAGTTTTATTGAAATGCCTTGATGCCGTTTTTTCTTCTTCCCCGAATTAAGCCGACGTGGGAGGAGGTGGGTCGCGCCCACCGTTGCCAGGACTCAGGCCGGCAGACACGGGCCACAGCGCCCCCTCGCCGCCCGCGCGCACCACTCCTGGCCTGCGTCGGTTCCTTCGTCCCCGCGACACGGAGGACTGCGCCGAGCCCGGCGAGCGCCCCGACCTTCTCCGCCCGCCGCGTTCCCGGGGAGACCCCGAGCCCAAGCCAGAGCCTCCGAGGCCGGCTCGTCCTCGCGCTCGGCCTCGCAGGAAATCCCCACTCGCTGAGACTTGCGTGTCCACGTGGACTCGTTCTAAATTCCTTGGCTGCTGGAGGGACAATAAAGAAAAATAGAACAGTGTTAACTTTTTCCCCGTCTCCTAGAGCACACCTGGGAAAGGGGGCAGGGCCCACCATGAACCTGAAACTGCACGTCGCCTGGGTTACTGTGGCCAGGGGTCGCGTTTTCAAAGCAGTTACTCGGTTTCCCCTGCGTGCCTGCTCATTCCCTCCTTCCAGCTCGAATGGCAACTGAAAAACCGCAGAAGCCCAGTGCCCGGCCCTCCCCAGCGACCACACAGGTCTGAGCACCCCCTTCGCCCTTGAGCAAAACATCCCAGGCCCTCCTCTTCCCGAGCCGCGGCCTTGCGGCCCTCGTGGCCCCGAGACCGAGTCCGGGCTGAGCCCGCCACCCTCTCAAGCAGCCTCGCCGGGACGGCCGTGCCAAGACTCCACGCTGGCAGCATGTTTTCTCCTGACTGATTTTTTTTTTTTTTTTTTTAAGAAGAAGAAGACCAAGCCAACTTTAACTTAAGAAGGAAAATGATTTTTTTCTTTAGTATCTGAGAGCTTTAAAGCAAAACGGAGTTTATATATTCCAATAACAATGATGAGTGTAAGTTTTTAATGTCCCTGCGTAGGCATTTTAATTTGCTACAGTCACTACCAATAAAAACGGCATGTAGTAAGAGTCGACTGTTTAATAGTGCAAGGTAGACGGTTTTTATTAGTAACAGGCAGCAACGGTATGGAAAATTTAGATTTCAGTGGAGGAGTATAATTGCTGCGGGGAAAATACACACAGGACGGGAAGAGCCCATCTTCAAACTCCCAGCACTGAGCTAAGGAGAGGGGAAGGGCAGGCAGCGTTTCTGGAGATGCACCCTGGGTGAGGGGACCCTCCCGGTCACTGCACGAGTCTGGTTATATATTTAATTGATGTCAGAATCGACTGTATCCAAAGCGGACACTCCAGCTCCAAACTGAGGATGTTTTTGTAATAACTGGCTGTTCTCTCTTCTGTCCCTGGAAGAGGTCAGGCCCGGGGGTGTCAAGGGAGGGGGAGGGAGGATGAGCCCCAAATGCTAATGAAACCACAGCGGGAACCGCTCTTTAGAAATGGAAATACTCCAGGCCAGTCCTCCCAGGTGATAAAAATTACACTCGATTTTTTTTTTCATTTAAACTGATCTGATCGGAAAAGAACCCTAAAAGCTGCCATCTGATCTGCCAGTGTTTGTGTTTGCTATCCAGCGTGTGGGCCTCTCATTTACCCCTCTTCTTGGAGGAATTCCCTCCCAGGAAGCGCAAAAATGTCACAGACCGTCGACGGCTTGCCCAACCCCGCTGCTTCCTCTGTCTGTCTGTCTGTCAACTCTCTAGTAATTGAATAAAAGTATCTGCGCTGAGCTGAATTAGGATGTCCCAGGTGGACTCGCAGCATGGTTGAAACCCCCCTGCTGGGTCGTTGCAGGAGCCCCAGCCTGTGGGAACGGGGAGTCGGTGGGTGGAGGGAGCGGTGGTCGTGGGTGTGTGTGCGTGTGCGTGTGCTGAGATGACCTGGAGAGGATGCGTGCAGGATGGGGGTGTGGTTTGTAGGAAGAGCGGTGGGGGAGCAGTGTGGGCGAAGGGGTGGGTGGGAGAACTAGTAGGGGGCGACTGGCTTGGCTCGGGAGCTCCTGGCGGGAAGGGTAACATGCCTGGATCGCGTCTACCGGGAGAGTCGCCCTGCCTGCCGGCTCAGGAGGAGCCATCCTCAAGCCCAGCACTGCAGTTTGCAACTGGTTCCCGTGCACCTGGGGAAAGACAGCCTGATGCCGTGAGTGTTTCTCTTGCACCCCGGACCAGGCTGGTAACCCGAGCTCCGCTCCCTCCGCGCCGCTGCAGCTGCACCACGGGGAGGCCGCAACATTCCCTGCGTCCTGAGATCACCAAGGCCGCTCCGCAGGCTGCAGGGCCGGCGGGGGTGCAGGAGTCGGCTGCAGGCCTAAACTGAGGCCCGCCTCAGGCCACGGCGCTCTCTCCTCCACGGCACCCACCCGAGACGGCTTCCGACGATAGAGGCACCTGTTGGGTGGGTGCTCCCAATAGGCCAGCACAGACCTGACACTCTTCCATCCCCCTGAGCGCCCCCCATAGGTGACCCTTCGGAGTGGGCAGTCAGACGCCCTCTTCGGCCATCCCCGAGTGGAAAAGGGATGAAGAAGCGTGATGGGGAGCGGGTTCTAGGAAGCTGGGGTCCCGGGGACCCTCGCCAACCGCCTCGATTCTGAGCCCCACAAGGCAACCGCCCCCCAACTCCAGCCGCGCGTCACCTGAGCTACCTGTAATGCCACTGCACCGGAGGCGCCAGCCTGGGCTCCTGCCCGTTCCCGAGGTGACGGGGAGGCTTCAGGTCCTGCCAGAGGCAGTTTGTCGGGTAACAATCATCCCCCCAGTGTTTTGACAACACAAATCCGAAAGAGGAGTCAACTTAGAAAAATAAAATAAAATAAAACTCTTTAGGGGACGACGTCGTCTTAGGTGAAGCCCTGGCGGCATTCCCAACAGTGGAAAGTCGTAACGTTCAGGGCCCCGGGGGTTGCGCTGAGGATTTGGGGGCGGAAAGCTCACCTCAGGGCCCTCCTGGCAATTCGCAACCAAGGCGCCCCGGATCCAGGTCCATGCTGCGAGGAGCGGGCCGCGAGGGGTAGGCGACCAGACGCGAGGCCACGTGGGGAGCCTCGGGCCGGGAGGCAGAGCAGGTCCGGGACCGTGGAAGCGAGAGCCGCGCGCACTGCCCGGAGGAGGACCCGAGCCGCGGGCGCCACCATCCTGACCTCCCCACTTCCCTGCGACTTCCGGATTGGACACAGGGGCCCGGCCTCCTCGGGGTGCACAGCCGGGCAGACCGTGAGCCCCCAAGTGGACCCGGCCTGGCCTGACCGCGGGCGGCCTCTGCCTAGTCCGCGCGGGTGGAGAAGGGGGTGGGGGGCGGGGTAGTGGCTGGAAGGGGCGGGGGCCGGGCGGGGGCGAAGAAGGTGGCCGGGGACGGTGGGAGCCAGCCGGAGCTGGGCAGGGGACGTGGCTGCCAGTGGGTGGGAGTGGGAGGGGTGCGCGCCGGGGCACGCAGCGCGGCCGCGCCGGGCTCAGGTCCGCGAGCCGCGGGCTGGGGCCGGAGCTGCTAGAGAGGCGGCTGCGCCACAAAAGCCTGTCGTTCCCTCCCGCCGCCCGCCTCCGTCGCCTCCTCCCTCCCCAGCCTGCCTCCCTTCTCTCTGCCCCTCCCCCGGCCGCGGCCTGGAGGCTGGAGCGGGCGGAGCAGGGGAGGGGCGGGCCCCCGAATATGCAGATGAGCGCGTGATGGACAGCTGCGCGTTCCAATGTCCCTCGGAAACTCGAGCGCTCCTTCCTCAACTCCTCACTCCCGACTCCAGACTCCCCCAAACCCCGACCGCCGGCCTGGCGCGCGGCTGCGCCCACCGGCTCCGCGCTGCCGCCTCCGCCACCGCCACCCCGCCGCCGCCCCGGCCCGCGGGCCGCCCAGGCTAGTGCCCGGGCCGGCCTGCCTCTGCCCGCCGTCCGGGTGCCCGCCGCCGCGCCGCGCCCCGGCCGGGCGTGGATGGAGGGCGCCGCGCGCCCTGCCCGCTGCTCGGCGTGACGCGGGCCCGGCGCCCCGCGCCCACCATGTCCTACCCGCAGGGCTACCTGTACCAGGCGCCCGGCTCGCTGGCGCTCTACTCGTGCCCGGCCTACGGCGCGTCGGCTCTGGCTGCTCCGCGCAGCGAGGAGCTGGCGCGCTCGGCGTCGGGCTCGGCGTTCAGCCCCTACCCCGGCTCCGCGGCCTTCACAGCGCAGGCGGCCACCGGCTTTGGGAGCCCGCTGCAGTACTCGGCCGACGCCGCCGCCGCCGCCGCCGGCTTCCCGTCCTACATGGTAACCGGGAGCGGGCGGGACGCGGGACTCCGGGGCGCCCGCGGAGCGGAGCTAGGGTTCGGCGGGCGGGGGCCGCTGGGAATGTGGCGTGGCCGGCAGCTCAGGAGTCGCCGGCTCGGTTGGCCGCCCTGCAGGCTAAGCCGGGCCCCGGGTGGGGAGGGCAGCGCGGCCGGCAGGGAGGTCCCTGAGTCCGGCCGGGACCCGCGCTCCCCCGGCTCGTCTCGGCTTGCCGGCTAATCTTCTCTGAGAGTCTGGGAAGTGCCTCTCCGCCGGGGGCCGGGGTCTGGCGCGGTTTGTCCCTCGTTCCCGCACCGCAGCCTGGGAAGGCGTTGGGAGCGGGTTGTGTGCTGTCCTGCGTTGGCGTGGGGCGCGAGGGTCCGCGTCACTGCGGCCTCTGGGCCGACGGCCAGGCGGTTCACATTCACTCGCGGGGCTGGGGGCGGCGGGGGCCACCGGGGGTCACTGAGTTGGGCCCGGGAGCCGAGCGTCCAGCTGCGGCTCCCGAGTCCGATCCGAGGCGCCCAGGTTTCGGCCTTAATCTGTCCGGCGGACCATGCTTTCAAAAATCGTGCATGCGGGCGTGTGACCCGCTAAGGGCCGCCTGAGTGCTCCGTGCCCCGAGCGCAGCTCCTGCTCCGGCGACCTGGGGCGGCCCGCGAGTCTCGAGGTTCCTGAGCTGGGCCGGGCCCGGGCCGCAGCGAAGCACGTTACGGGCGATTGAGGCCATTACGGGATTGTCACCACTGCCGTCCGTCGGCGGAATTTCTGGGCAGCGACCGAGTCGCTGGGGCCTTGGCGAAGGCTGCAAATGTCTCGAATTTAAAAGTTAAAGGATGAATTAAAATGCTAATTACGGCGTATTTGAAGAATTCGAAACGGTGACTGGCTTCTGAGTTGCAAATTGGATTTGCCCAGCTTTAGAGCAGTGAATAGTGAATTGGGGGCTCTGGGGTGTTTTTTTAACCATATAAGGGCGGGGAAGAGGGAGTAGGGGGAGGCAGCGGCACTCCAGGCAACGGCAGAAATTTAGATATCAAAGAGCTACCTGTGGGCCTGTGTGCGCGCACGTGCGAGGGTTTGTGTATATCGCCACGCGCAACTCCGGAACACTTGGGGGAAGATGGGTCATTTTAGGAAAGTGAAATAGTTCAAAAATTCGAGAATAAAACTATGGTACTTTTTGTGATCAACAGCTGGTCCCGAATCACACTGCGTTTTTCCTGCTCTTTTGCCGCGGGAAGCGCAGCCCCAGAGCCAGAGACTCACGGGGGAACGGTCGCCGTGGGCGGGCGGAGGGGCAGCATCCTCCGGCTGGTTGCTCGCCGGCTCTCTGCACACTCCACTCACGGGCTCTTGTGGTTCCAGGGCGCACCCTACGACGCGCACACCACCGGCATGACCGGCGCCATCAGCTACCACCCGTATGGCAGCGCGGCCTACCCGTACCAGCTCAACGACCCCGCGTACCGCAAGAACGCCACGCGGGACGCCACGGCCACGCTCAAGGCCTGGCTCAACGAGCACCGCAAGAATCCCTACCCCACCAAGGGCGAGAAGATCATGCTGGCCATCATCACCAAGATGACCCTCACCCAGGTCTCCACCTGGTTCGCCAACGCGCGCCGGCGCCTCAAGAAGGAGAACAAGATGACCTGGGCCCCGAGGAACAAAAGCGAAGATGAGGATGAGGACGAGGGCGACGCGGCCAGAAGCAAGGACGAGAGTCCCGATAAGGCGCAGGAGGGCACGGAGACCTCGGCGGAGGACGAAGGTGAGCGGGCGGCGGCCGGCGCAAGGTCTCGGGGCGCTTTCTTCCCAGGCGGGGCGCAGAGCTAAGGTCGGGAGGACGCTGCCCACCGGACATCCCAGATCCGGGCCGGAGCCCCAGCTGCCCCGCATGGGTCTGGGGTCTCCGGGATTTGAGCGAGTGATTCCTGGGGCGCTTCCCGGGGAGGTCAGGCTCCCCCTGTCACGTGGCCGGGTGGGGGCGAGGTGAGGGGTCCTGTGGGGAGGGCCTAGTGCCGCAGGACAAGGGGCAGAGGGGGCTCCGGGTGACTGCGCTGTCCCCTGGTGCCACCCACCGTGCCCGCGCCCCTGCAGGGATCAGCCTGCACGTGGACTCGCTCACGGATCACTCGTGCTCGGCTGAGTCGGACGGGGAGAAGATTCCTTGCCGTGCCGGGGACCCCCTGTGCGAATCGGGCTCCGAGTGCAAGGACAAGTACGACGACCTGGAGGACGACGAGGACGACGACGAGGAGGGCGAGCGGGGCCTGGCGCCGCCCAAACCCGTGACCTCGTCGCCGCTCACCGGCTTGGAGGCGCCGCTGCTGAGCCCCCCGCCCGAGGCCGCGCCCCGCGGTGGCGGCAAGACGCCCCAGGGCAGCCGGACGTCTCCGGGCGCGCCGCCCCCCGCCAGCAAGCCCAAGCTGTGGTCGCTGGCCGAGATCGCCACGTCGGACCTCAAGCAACCAAGCCTGGGCCCGGGCTGCGGGCCACCTGGGCTGCCCGTAGCCGCCGCGCCGGCCTCATCGGGGGCACCGCCGGGAGGCTCGCCCTACCCTGCCTCACCGCTGCTAGGCCGCCCCCTGTACTACACGTCGCCCTTCTACGGCAACTACACAAACTACGGGAACTTGAACGCCGCGCTGCAGGGCCAGGGCCTCCTGCGGTACAACTCCGCGGCCGCGGCCCCCGGCGAGGCCCTGCACACCGCGCCCAAGGCGGCCAGCGACGCGGGCAAGGCGGGTGCGCACCCGCTAGAGTCCCACTACCGGCCCCCGGGCGGCAGCTACGAGCCCAAGAAAGGTAGGCAGCCCGCGACCGGGGGCGCCCAGGAGGGGAGGGAGAGCCAGCCCTGGGGAGGCGGAGCGCTCGGGAGACCCGGGGGAGGGTCCGGGAAGAAGATCCAGGGGGCCGCCCCTGGGACCCAGAATTAGCAGAGTGAGGGCAGAGGGCGAGATGGAAGCCAAAGAAGGTGTGGCCCTCTTTTTAGACTTGCCCTGTTATTATTTATTTTTACTTAATTTACTGTTATTTTGACTATTACTATCTTGGCTGTCTTAGTTTCGGCAAACCCAGATTGCCACGAAATTCCAATTACAGCGTGTCCCCCTAATGAGCCTGGGTGTGTTTCGGTGTCTTGTTGGTTAAGGAGTCAGAGTTGAATCTGCTTTTCTGCCGTTGGCTAGAAGCAAACAGAAAGTTCCAGTTACTCTCAGAGGCGTTTGTCTTCAAAAGAGAAAATCAAACGTTTTTTCCGCTTTTTGTTGTTGTTGTTCTGAAAGAAAACCGTTTTTTCCCCCTGTTCTGTATTGCCTCTGTTGCTCCTGAGTCAGGCTACCCGAAGGAGAAGCTCAAGGGGGAAAGTTAAGAACTAGGGAACATCACTAAAAGTCGTCTCAGCTAGCGGCCCTGAAGACAGTCGGTTTCCCAAACTGCTGTTTGCCCGGGAGTGGAGGATGGTGGGTGCACGGTGGTCTGCGCAGTCAGCAGGCTGTGGGGTCGGTTCTGACTAACTGCCCACTCCCCTGACAGATGCCAGCGAGGGCTGCACCGTGGTTGGCGGGGGCGTCCAGCCCTACCTATAGAAGGGCCGAGCACAGCAATGCAAGTAAGTGGGCACCCTGGTGCTTCCCAGACCCTCTGGAGCCTCCCAGCACCAGCTTGCTTAATGTGTTTTTCTTGCTTCTGGTCATGGGGTTAGAAGACAGAGCATTTCAATCTTGTCCAGTCTTTTCTTTCCTTAAGGGGGAAACTATCTTTTCTGTTTTATAGATTCCCTCTTTTTGGCACAAGTTCTATCACTCCTTTACCTAGGGAAAGAAAAAATATATATGTATGTGTATGTGTGTGTATTATATATATGTGTATATATATAGTACATGTATATATATATTACACACTACTGTTGTTTTCTTTTGAAACAATAGATTATTACAATCTGGGCATTCGTATGCAATTTAGAGCCATTTTTACTATGCTAGACACATAATACACACATGCTT